AAACACAACCAACAACTCCATACACTCGAGTCAACATCTATTATTAGATTCTCATTATTTCTCCGTGTTTCAATCATCTGTACTACTTTATTATTCTTTCCATCTCATCCACTTTCTTTCCTTAGTTCCGTTCTGACCTAACTAGGATACTATTATCACTCTTTGACTCAGATCAATTCATTTTTCTGTTAGTCATTTATAATAGGTACGTATACTTGGTTAATCATATTAATAATTTATATATAGATATCTTTAATGTAATTAGCTGCGAAAAAACCATGATAAAGCTATTGATATGTCGTATACATAAAATCTATGATTTTGAATATTAATCTTTAGTTAATATATTTTTTTGTTCTAAATTTTGGCTGTTATTGCTCGGCCTAGTTTCAATTCACGCGGGTTTCGATTCATATTTTTACTTATCCCGCCACCACTGATTGTGTTCGTGCCATTCGTACGATTGGGCAAGCTTCTCATGGAAATGCTGTTTTCTTAATATCATATTAATAGTAGTGAATTGCACACGTACTATGAATAATCAGCATTTTCATCAACATCCCTTCTCGGGTATTTATTTCATTTATTTTTTGTATAAAGTAAATTGAACGGTTTTTGGTTAACCAGTCATTTTTGACTTCTATTTATATATTTTCTACAATTATTGAAAATAATTTTTTTTCAATATGTTTTTTTAATCAGGAATACATCACGATCGTTCGCTGTTCATCTTCTTCGCTGGAAGTTTTTTTTTTTGTATTACTTTGTCCATTCACTAACTATCATTCTATCGCACGTCCAACGCAGGCAATGAGGGGCCCTGCTCCTCACTATTCCGCTTAGCTAGTACTAATTTTACTCGATTCACAGACAAAAAATCCACGCATTAATAATCATTCCATTCTTTTAGACTCGACGCGACGCTATCTGCCACGCATATATCCATCAGGCTTGCTCAGCGGCCCCTTCTTACTCTGACGCATATTATTTTTTATTTTACCTCACGGCGTCCCCCTAGAGAATACATATTACATAAGGGTTTCATCTATCTTATTATCTTCTCCTAATACAATAAGAGTCCCGCAAATATTTCAATTTTCGGTATGTTCCACAATGCTGATTACACCTAGATTGTCCTTTTCGGATTTTAATCATTGAGCATTCGAATGCCAAAATTTTGTAAATTTTAAAGGGTTTCTTGAAAAAAAGTTTTTTATCGCTGTTTTCAAAAGAAAATCCAAAGGCACTTCCACATTTTTAACTCTATCTCTTCTCCTTTGTGCAAATGGTCGGATCCACCAAGACAAGCTATCCACGGTGCATAGTCACCAGTTTGGCTGTCCCCGGCATGGGCAGAGCGTGGCCTCTTAGCTCTGGGCAAGCCCTGCATGGCTGCAGCCGGGGCCGCGGTCGCCCTTGAGCTAAAGCCGTTAAGCTCGCCGCCGCCGCCGAAACCATTTCCATAGGCCGTGTGCTCATCGCAAAGACTTGGGTGCAAGGCCGCGCTAGCCGCAGTCCCGTCGTGGCTGGGGTCCGATCCGCAGACGCCTTTAGACTTCTCCGTGGGGAAAGACATGTGAGTGACAACGTCCTGGCGCCGATTTCTTTGCTCATTCTGCGCTGCGTCCAGGAGACGTGCGAACCACGTGATCCAGCAGCTCGGACATGTCGTCGTTTGAAAAGCGGACGCATACGCTAACCGCATGCGTTGCATGGAGAGCGCGAAGGGGGTTGAGAATCATTTTAAAGTGGTACAAAGTGACAATTTCCAACAGGGTAGCCAAACAAAAAAATAACACGAATTGCAAGGTGCAACAAATATGCAGTATTAAAAAGAAATGCTCAATAAATTATGTTTAAAATGTCTCGTAACGATGGTGATAATTTTGGTATCTGATTGAATTTAATATTCCGCTGACTAGTGTTGTGACACCACTGCTGCCTGAAGCTCTCTGTGCTGAAGTCGTATAAGATGAGTGCGACTCACCTCTTCCGGCTCCGAGATCGGACCTGGTCTGGCTGAACTCCGACTCCTTGCAACGGGCAGCTCTGCTCATTGGCTGCCTGCGGCGCTATATTTCTAAATAATAATGCATGTTAATATCCTACCCACTCCACACAGCCTGCATCATTGGTCTGAATCTTAACTGCTGCTGCAAGTTAGTGGCAATGGTAAACAAGGCGAGTAATAAGCATTCCGTTGAGGATTGCATGAGTTGGAAGACTCGCCTCAGTTAAAGTTTGCTTGTGCAGAACATGGTGTTTTATTCACTAATACCACGGTGTAAGAAATAATTTTAACTCCGTGCTATCATAGCTTAACATTCATCCTGCATGCCTATTCACCCATCCCCACATTCCACCTCAGTGCTTTATATTATTCGAGAAGTTTTTTGCTCACAAAAATTAAAAAGAAATAGTATTGTTTAAATATTATTATTTTATTCAAAGAATTAGTTTAATAATTTGTTTCCGTAGTGTATTTAAGAATGTGAACAGCGAGGGTATAATTATAGTAAATAATATATGTATTATTGAAATAATTTTTCTGGAATACTCTATACGAGGAGGTTTAAACGCACTGTCTCAAAGCTAACTATTCCGACGTAACAGATGAAATCTTTTCAATTCTTTTCATATTTCAATCAAGGTGTCGTGGAAAAGCTGCACAGAAAAGTTGTGTAACACGCAGTCTGAAACAATAACTATCTCTGAACAATGTTGTGGAACATGGTAATTTGTGAAGTAGACAACAAAAGATGCAGGGTGGCCTGGGAATTATTGCAATGGAATCCTTACACTTCATTTTGTTTTGTTCGGGTGGGATTGGCCGACTGAGTAAACACTTGAAACCAACTTTATTGTAAACTAATAACTGAACCCATTATCAGCTCTACAAATTCTGTCAGTTCCTTAGTGCTCCAGCCGCATATCCGCCAAGCAAGTGCCTCTGTTGCTGCGTGGGCGGCGCGCGCGCGCGTGTATGTGTGGTCTGTCTCGCCCGTGACCACATCGTAGAGGCCATGCGTGACTGCAAGTCACACAACTTGCTCTCCCGTAGCTTGGCCTCTAGCACCGGCGCAGCCCTGCGTTCAATCTGCAGCGGAATCGGCCGGGGAGGCCGGCGTAAAAAATTTTCGGGCATGCGAACCGTTAAAAATCGATTGCTTTTTTGGCGCAGAATTGCAAATAACTTTCCCTATTATTTAATTAAAATAAATTCAAGGAAATCCTAATATCTTTTTCGACAGTTTATGAAATGAGTATGAATGTGCGTAAAACATGAGAATACGTTTCTTTGCACCTCCCTATTTTAGTAAACAATTAGTTTTATTGGATATTTATGTTAACGTTGTCGGCGTTAGCCTCTCCATGGCATTTAATGTCTAAGAACGGCTGAACCCATTTTAAATTAATTGTTGTGATTTGTTGAATGCATCTCCGCCCCGATTGGCAGAAATAACTCACTCTCACGCAATATCGGAAAAATTTTCGAAACAAAGAAAACAAACAAAATATTTACGCCAAAAAGCAACCTAACAAAACCAGCTAGAATTTCTTATTCTAATATTAATACTCCTAAAGAAGCGTTCTACTAAAGCATTAAAAACTAAAACTTTTGGGCCATAGGCTTTCAAAGAAACCTTTCTCTCACCATAATCTACAGGATGCAGATTGTTTCTTGAAGCATTCTACTACATTTTTGCTGGTCGGATGTTTCTCGATATTACCTACTCAGGGACGGTGCATAATAAGCAACTCAAACTGTGTATGGAGGGACAGAAAGAGTCAGAGATGGACACAGAGAGAGAGAGAGAGAGACGGAGACGAAATGGAGAGGGAAGGAGAAAGGAAGGAAAATGAAGGGGCAGAACGTGCTTCCGGGTGCCGCTAAGGTTTATCTAATATGATTCTTCTCACGTGTTTCCTTTCATATATATCAATATTTAATTCTCAGCTTTTTATGGCACTTGCCTCTGGCGTAACGGTGGTTGCTTTCATGTCCTGGCTTGTGGTCTTACTAGCTTAACGTTGCTACAGATGTTATTCTCAACTTGTATATCGATCTCTCACCAGAGAGAGACATTTCATTTGGTCTCACGCTTATTTATGTTATATTATTATTTGTTTCGTTGATGTTTATTATACTCTGTATATGTAGTTTTATGTGTTACCTCTTATCACCGTTACGCATTCATGGCCTATTGTTAGTCGGGTTTTGTTTTTAGGGCTCGTATGTATTGCATTTTGTACCTGTTATACTTATTATATCGGTAGTTTCTTATTTAATGGTCTTCTATGTTATAGTGCTTTTTACTTCTCTGGTCATGTTATTTGTTTCTTGTAGTTGCTTCAGTAGAGGGTGTTTTGTTGTAAGTGTGAGGAAGTATCGAGCTCAGGTTTTATAGCACAAGAACGGTTTCGGAAATTAAACTTTTTACACTTATTTTTACTTATGTGGTATTTTGGTAGATATCGAATGACTATTTTTTGGGTCTTGTGTTTTTGTTTTTTTAGTTGCCAGTTACTTTTGTTGGAATTTCCTCCGGTTTCTTCAATTGATTAGGTGTTTTTAAGATTTTATCATCCCTTTCTAGAGCGGTCATTACATTGTTGTTCCTCGTTCTTTTTAAAAAGGTAAGATTGCTGGGAGCTTGGTTTTGGAATTGTTGGCCTGCATGTTTTTGTTTCTTTTAATGCTTTGAATTATATTTTTCTGCTTCCTTCTGGACCCAATTTTTCTTGCCGCGGTGCGATCTGCTGCAGCACGCGCTGTATCTTTGGGATTGATTGTTTTTGTTTCTGTGCGGTTTCTCAGAAGCAGGTGCTGCCTAGTTATTCATGCTCGTGAGAGTCTTATGTTTGGCGTGACAAGCGGCCGTTCCGCTCCTAGCTAGTCTCGCGGATTCGAGACGTTTCTTCTTCTTTTCCGCTGAAGACATTTGTTCGGCTAGCAATTGTCATGTTAGAGTGCAGTGTTGCCAAGCTCCGGTTTCTCTTTAACTATATTCTATTTCATTGGGCACCGGCCCTGCCGATGTCATAGCGCGACTGAGGCGGCGCATCTCTTTTGCATTCGTTGCCGCTTTGAATGAGAGGGAGTGCTGTTCACAGGGTAAATTAAATTTGTTAAGGGAAAGAAATGATTGTATGTTGGTTGGCACCGCCTTCTTCAGCAGCGCGATTCGAAGATCGCGGATTTTCTTGGTTGTTTTGGGCATTTTTGTTTCTCGCTGCCTTCTGCTTTTTTTAAATGCAGAGGAGTTTGGTTTGGTAGGTTGTGGTTGTCTAACCGTGGCGGTGTGGGATTCTTTTCTTCTTTTTGTTCTTTTTCTTTTTGGCTGCGGATCGTGCCTGTCTTCCAGTATCTTAGCGCGACGTTCTTCTGTTTTTTAGCCTCTTTTCGTCGGCTATTTCGATTTTGTCGAATATGTGTGAGCGATGTGAGTTGAATTGCTTGACAATTGGTTCCTTATACGTTTCCTTGGGCACTCTCGGCCTTCCAGTTGCGCGACGTGTAGACGCCTTCTCTTTTTTCTCTCCTATTCTTTTCTTCATTGCGGTCTGGGAAATGGGAGATGAGCTGTAATTGCATCGCAAGAAATGAGGCTAGTTGATTGGAAGAAGGTTGTTGACTTGCTCGAATCATACTGTCGTATTAGCACCTTCAGCGCTTGGCCTACTTCTGGCCGCCCTCGGCACCCATCGTTCGTATGTCGCTACTGCACGAGGTTCGGTTGTTCTGCGAGTAGGATTGTGCAGTTGTTTGATGTTTTAGTTTATTTTTGCTATGTTTGAGGCATCCTCTTCGTGTTTCAAGTGCATTTGGCATCCTGATCGTCTCTTCAGTTTCGCTAACCAGTCGCGCTCGAAGTGTTCCTGTGTCGTCCGTTGCGCTCGCTTGTAATGCATACTATACGCTCTATCTTCTCGCTCCTCTCAGTACTCACTGTCACGAAGCCGCGTCCGCGAAGACTTCTACGGACCTAGACCGTCTTTCAGCGTTAGCAAGGCCCTCGCACGGGAGGCGTCCTATCTCGCCCTCTCGGATAGTTGGACGCGTTTTCAGCAATATATTCAAGATACCCTCGTTGCCGCCTTCTTTGCGAGGCAACAGAACTAATGGCGACTTCGTGTTTTGCTGTTTTTTTATTTTGTTGGCGAAGCTTCTTCTCGTTCAGTAGCATGGGACGATTATTCATATTTTCTGCATTTTTCAGACCTTGGGTACTTGTTAAGGTGATTTGTGTTTCGTTTAATATCCTGCCTTTTTTGTCTTTATCCGTTTTTTGCTCCTCCCATTCTCCCAACATTTGTTTTACAGTTAACCAGTATCGGAGGTAGTTCTTGTTCTGTTGTATTGTAGTGGTCGATCTAGCAGAGGGGTTTGGCTCCCATTTTGGTGGCTGGTTGCTTCATTATTTCACCCTTCTGCCCGTCTTCTCCATCTTAGTGATCATGCATCTAGTTCCCTGCGTTTACTTGTGGTTGTGCTCGCCTTGTCAGGTTCGTGATTTTCGAAGGTCTCGCGCGTTCCGTTGTTCAGCCTCGGTTCACGTCGGCGACCCTTCTCCCAAGAGCGCAGGGTAGTTTACGATTGCGCCGAGTTCTTCTTTCTGAGTTGTTCTGGTGCGCGATTGTCTTCATTAGCTCGAGATTATGAGGTTGTCTTCCGTTTTTCGGTGGCAATCACCTGCTTAGTCGGAGACGGCTTTGCTCTCTCAAGAAGTTGCGATTCTCGGCTTGAGATGTCTTCGAGTGTATTCCGTGTCGTGTTCTTTAACAGAGAGTGTATGAAGTGGCAGCGCGTCTTACTGTCTGGCTTGCCCTGGTTGATCCTGTCGCTCTCACTTCCCGCTCGCAGCCTCGCCCGGCTCTGCTGGCCGCCAGCAGCACGTCGATCCCGGCCAGCTGCTGCAGAAGTTGTGCCTCTCTCTGACGGCGTGGCGATTTAGGGGCGTCTTCCATCGTCGTCTTTGTGTTACCGACGCGCCTGCACAAGAGCGACTGCAGGCGGCTGCGTATATTTGCTGAAAGCGGTCCAACTATCCGAGAGGGCCGAGATAGGACGCTCCCTGCGAGTGGCTGCTAACGCTGAGGTGGTGTGGATCTTCGCGGACGCGGCTCGTGACGTGGTGCTGGGGGAAGCAGGGATAGAGGCGTTAGTTGCTTCAGCGGCGGACGGACGCCAGGAAGCTCTTCGCGCGCTGTTACAACTGGGCGTCAATGCCAATGCTACTGACACGAGGGATTCTACTGCACTGCTCAACGCTGCTTATGCAGGCCACGCCTCGTGCGTGCGCTCGCTGGTGGAGGCCGGTGCCAATGTGAATGTTTTAATACACAGTTGTTCCGTCACTTCTTCCTTTTGTTCCGCTTCTTGCGTTAACTACACTCCTCTCCATTTAGCCGCAATGTATGGGAAAAGAGAGTGCGTCGTCGCGCTGCTGGAGGCCGGTGCCCAAGTGAACGTTAAGACCCAATATAAATTCCCATTTTCCTTTAACAAATTTATTTACTGTAACAGCACTCCTCTCCATTTAGCCGCAACGAATGGCAAAAGAGAGTGCGTCGTCGCGCTGCTGGAGGCCGGTGCCCAAGTGAATGTTAAGAACCGATTTGGCAACACTCCTCTACATTTAGCCGCAATGTATGGGAAAAGAGAGTGCGTCGTCGCGCTGCTGGAGGGCGGCGCTGACGCCAACATAAGACTTCACGCTGAATTTGGCAGCACTGCTCTGGAATACGCAAGACAAAACAATCATCAAGATTGCGTGCTCGAGATCGAGCGGCGATTGGTCCAGAGAAGGAATTAATTCAGGCTTTAAAGACAACTGTACCACAATTCACGCTCGCTCTTCTTTTTACAAAAGAAGAGAAAATGTGCCCTCTATGATGATAAATCTTAAAAACACCTAATAATTGAAGAAAGGTGGAATTTCACAAAATCTGATAAAAAACAACAGACAAAAATGTATTTGTTTACCACTGATACAATAATGATTAATTGTTAAGAGTTTAATTCCAAGTTCTTGTCTTATGTCTTTTTCTGTTCACAAACACCTCTTATCGCATAAAGAGAAGTGAAGACTTGCTAGATTAATAGTATATATATATATATATATATATATATATATATATATATGTATGTATGTATATATATATATATATATAATCAAGTTCATTAATGTTATTAACTTTAATGTAATAAATGTTTTGAATCTGCATTATTGATCATTGCACTTAAGTGTGAAACCCTCCGACATAACACCCCTTACGCAGTGCCTAAAGCTGAGATTTATTTGATTTAGGAAACTACTGAGAAGTCATATTTAGATAAACCTTAGCGGACCCGGAAGACGTTCTGCCCCTTCATTTCCTTCTTTCTCCTTCCCTCTCCATTTCGGTCTCCGTCTCTCTCTCTCTCTCTCTGTGTCCATCTCTGACTCTTTCTGTCCCTCCCATACACATTTAGTTGCTTATTATGCACGTCCCTGAGTAGGTAATATCGAGAAACATCGGACCAGCAAAAATGTAGTAGAATGTTCAAGAACATCTCATCCTGTAGATTATGGTGAGAGAAAGGTTTCTTTGAAGCCTATGGCCCCAAAAGTTTAGTTTTTAATGCTTTAGAACGCTTCGTTTAGGAGTTATTATATATTAGAATAAGAAAATTCTGCTGGTTGTTGTAGGTTGCATTTGGCGTAAATATTTTGTTTTGTTCTTTGTTTCGAAAATTTTTCCGATATTCTAATAGTTATTCTGCCAATCGGGGCGGAGATGAATTCAACAAATCACACATAATTAAAATGGGTTCAGCCGTTCTTGAGACATAAATGGCATAACTAACCCGACAACGTTAACATAAATATGCAATAAAACTATTGTTTACTAAAATAGTGAGTGCAAGAACGTATCTCATGTTTTACGACATTCATACTCATTCATAAACTGTCAAAAAGATATTAGATTTCCTTGAAATTTATTTTAATTAAATAATAGGGAAAGTTATGCAATTCTGCGGCAAAAACAATGATTTTTAACGGGTCGCATGCCGAAATTTTTTACCCGGCCTCCCCGGGCCGATTGCCGTGCAGATTGAACGCAGGCTGGCCGGTGCTAGAGGCCAAGCTACGGGGAGAGCAAGTTGGTGACTTGCACCACGCATGGCTCTACGATGTGTCACGGCGGATACAGACACACACACACGCGCGCGCGCGCGCGCGGCAGCAACAGAGGCACTGTGGCGGATATGCGGCTGGAGCACCTAAGAACTGACAGAATTTGTATGACTGATAATGTGGTTCAGTTATTGGTTTACAATAAAGTTTGGTTTCAAGTGTTTACTCAGTCGTCCATCCCACCCGAACAAAACAAAAATGAAGTGTAAGGATTTCATTGCAATAATTCCCAGGCCACCCTGCATCCTTTTGTTGTCTACTTCAAATTACCATGTTCCAAACAATTGTTCAGAGATAAGTTATTGTTTCAGACTGCGTGTTACACAACGTTTCTGTGCAGCTTTTCCAGCGACACCTGATTGAAAATTGAAAGAATTGAAAATTTCATCTGTTACGGTCTGGAATAAGTTGCTTGTGACAGTCTTTAAACGCTTTCC